ATGTAGGGACTTCTGCCTAAGTATGTACTCTCTTTTGGTGATCCCAGACAACTTTCGACTACCGACAAACTCCTCGTCGACGGTTGGGGGATTGGGTGTTCCAACTGCCGTAAATGTTTTATCAACAGTGTCAAACAGAGAGCTTGAAGAATCTTTCTCTGAAATAATTCCACTCGGGAAAAATGAAGATTTGGTTTTGACATCATGAACTCCGGTCATAGCAGACGCCTCCAACTGAAAGCTATGCCCACAAGTTACAGAAGCGACATTGGAAGTCTCAGACGAACAATGTGCACAAGCAACTGAAGGATTTGTCTTACAGGGAATTCTATTGTTGGATTCGGAACTTTTGGCCTCGGATTGCAAATAAGGCTGCACAGAAGCAGAGGAATTTTCATTCCCATCAGCAACCAAACTACTCAAAGGATCACTTTCCATCGCACAAGCATGAGATACATTCATGTCACATATTAACAAGCACCACATTGCATCACCAGTGCTAAAGAAAGGCCTAACTTCTCGCAGAACACAGACCAATTCAGCCAACACATACTTTTCCATCTGCTGCAAATCCTCAAAATAATGCTCCCTGCACAAGTCAATCTCCTGGCCGCTACGAAGAAAACCCAATGTATTCTCCACTATGTTCGACACAATGTCCTTACAACCATAGCAAATACCAGACCTTAAAACAGCCTTTGTGGCAATATCTTCATTGTAACCAAAGGCCATTATTCTTTTAATTGCACTCCTGAAAATTGTATCCAAGTTGCTCAAGACAAGCTCTTCTAGCCCGGATTCCGTAAGATCACTCCAATCGGCATCATGGAACTCTTCAGTTGTTTCAACTTCCTCCTCTCTAGGCTCACTCGGACCTACTTCAGATGATCCTACGCTGCAAGACAATCCGAGGTCAAGTTTCAAACTTTCTGAGCCGTCTTGCTTCGAGCTACACATATCACAACCATTCGAAAACTCACGACTAGGGATCATTCCAAATTTGTCCGCTGAAAATTCAAAACTCGTGCACTCAAACTGAGGAGAAGAAATTATTTTATTTGGATCAGCTAGAGGTGGATCCGCCCTGAATTTCCTCTTATTCCTACTCCCTTTTTCCAAGACTGTCAAAGCCGGTGAATATTGAGCCGACGTCGTAGCACATGCCTTTGCAACCATTGATGCCATAACTTAGCTGCCAAAAAAAAAACATCTTTCTTTCTCAGAATCACCCCACGAAATTAACTCACAATTATTTAAAAATCACAAATGTGTTGACATCATACCAATGCACATAACTATAACAAAAACGCTGAAACCCAGTTCTTAAGCTGTCACAGAACATCAGAAAAAACAAACTAATAAACAACTTTTTTTCCCAATTGAAATGCATTTAACAAACCATATTAAACATGATCATATATATTGCTCAAGTCTAAAATCTTAAAATCCAAACAAATTCCACAATCCAAGAACTATACATATGACTTCACAAAAATTTAATAAAATCAACATAAATTAAATAAGTTACTTACATCAAGAACAACAATTACCCCAAAAAAACTTCCAATACTGAATGAATTTAAATCACACCCATTAAACTTCCGATCAATCCCATTTCAAATCAGCAATCAAAATCAACCCATAATAAAATAACAAAAATAAATTCGACGAATAAAAAAAAGATTCTTTTTTTAGATAAGATCGGTACAAGACAGTGTGAGAATTTGATCAAGATTTGATTTTTAAAGATCAATTGATCAAATACATACCAGATTTTTGAGCTAAGGTTTCGAGCAAATCAAAGGTAGGATAAATCTAAAGAGCATAGAGAAAAAGAGTAGAGAAGATCCTTAGTTTTTGTTTGGCTTTTTGTTTGTTTCTTTTTATTTTATTTTTTAGCTTTAATACATTGAACGCCTCTCTCTCTTTCTCTGTCTCTAAATTTTGGGGTGAATTTTTACTTTTTCTTGTTTCTATTTTTCTATGTGAGTTATAACTTTAACCAGAGATGTACACATGTAATTAAACTAGACATGGTTAGGAAGAGTCATCACATGGGGTTTGGAACTAACTATGGTTAATATTGTACCAAACCAAACACCAATACTCAAGCTACTCCCACCCCACGTGGAGTTTTTTTTAGTTACATTTTTTTTTTAAATTACGGATAGAGTTCAACAACAACAAATTCGGTATAATCCCACCAATGAATATGAGAAGGGTAACGTGTATGTCGTTTTTGCCCCCACCCTGAAAAAGTAGAAAGGCTATTTTTGGTGGACCCTCAACTAAATAAACATGATAAAAGGCACACTGAAAGGAAGGAGTAATAACAAGCAGCAATATCAATAAACTAATCATAAAATCGAAGCGAAAGTAACGACAATAATAACAAAAATATACGAATAAGACTATACAAGACTAATACTAAGTAATGCACTAAAACTACTGGTATGAATAAGGCAAACGCTCGACTACCTAACATTCTACCTAAATCTCAACCTCCACAACTTCCTGTCAAGGGGTATGTCCTCGGTAAGGTGGAGCATCACCATGTTTTCCCTAATCACTTGTCCTCAATATTTCTTCGGCCTATCTCTATCTCTCCTTAGGCTCTTCAAGGCCAACCTTTCGCACCTCCTTACTGGGCATCTGTGCCTACGCTCTTCACATGTCCGAACTAGTGATGGCAAAATGGGGGGGGGGGGGGTTTT